GAAAGAGCTGCAGGGAAAAAAATGGTACAGCTGAAAGAAAGAAGGTGAGTTTAAGCATGTATATTATCAGCAGGCCCACAGGAACCATGCATGTATTAAGCAACCAAGGGCAAAACTTAGAGATGCTTCTGTCCCTATACCAGAACCTTAAAAAAATAAGATAAGGTCAGGTTTTCTGATCACCCTGGATTACAACCCCAGTACCAGTACAGCTTTCTCACAATGGGAGATCCCAGATTCCAATAAGAAAAGCAGAGCCAGGAGTGTGTTGCTGACCCTGATCAGAATAAAGGTAATGATCAGCAAATATGAGATGAGATCGGAAAAACTAGTCGGCTCAGTGATCCATCAGGAAGAAAAAAGTGGGTTTGGGTACAATAATGAGTCTACTGGACAAAGCAGTGCTGGAAGCAGTGAGGAGGGCTGCTGCTCTGTGTTTGGTGGGGAGCAGCACACAGGACCTGCTTCACAAGGTGTTTGTGGGAGAGCTGTTCTCTGCTAGTGACCACAAAACAACCAATTTAATGCTGTAGTGGGAGAGAGCACACCAAATAAATCCAGCGTGTGGCTCTACAATTTCAAGAAAGGAACTATGAAAAAATAAGGTGATTCGTCAACAACAACAAAACAAAGTGGAACAGGCAGAAAGCAAGGAGCCTGCAAGCAGTCTGGAGGTGATTAAAAAAGGCTCTATTAAAGCCTAAGTAAAACATGTGCCACAACTCAAAAAGAACTAAGAGGTCCTGAAAAACACCCTGCCTGACTTACTGCTAAGGTTAAGGAGGTATCACAGGGAGAAGGTCAGCATTTTAAAAGTGGAAAGGTTTCCCACATGAGGAGAAAAGGAAAACCCATAAAACATAGCAAGTAAAGTGCAGACAGAAAATTATAAGAGCTAAAAAAGAGCACAAAGATCTCCTTGCAAAGATCTTTTAAAAAAAGTTTCTTTAAATATATCAGAAGTGAGAAGCTGGCTAGGGAGCCATTGCTTGCTACGAAGGTGCGATAGGGTACCGAGGAGGAGAAGGCATGACAAGGCAGCTCAGGCACAACTCTGTGTTGGCTGTTACCGCTGCAGGTCACACCCAGTTCATTCTTGTAGCCGGTAAGTTAGAGAAAGTAGATCAATGTGACTTTACAAGTGGCTACTTTACCAGAGGACTGGCAGATTACTAGTGTAGCTCCCACCTACAAACTGGGCTCTGGAAGGGGACCCTGGGAGCTAGAGGCAAGTGTCACCTCCATCCCAGCTGGAGTGGTCGGGTCTGTGCCAGCAGTGAGCACATGGGCAGGCAGGCGGGTGGGAAAGAGCCAGCAGACACGGTGCCGAAGAGGAAAAGCCTGCCTTGCCAGAGTGCTGGGACTCCAGGAAAACAGCAGTATGCACACGGATAGATAGAAATCAACAGGCAGAACAGCTGGACATTTTCAAAGAGATTCTGGTAAAATTATTTTTTAAAATTTACATTCCTGTGGGGTTGCAACAATGGTCCTTTTATGGATTGAAACCTAGTTAAAAAAAAATTCCTATCTTGTAGGTAGCAAAATGCAGGGTTGAACAGGCAGTTTTTGACGACAAATGAGATTCAGCAATGGGGTTGCTCAAGAATCTCTCTGCATCTGGTTTTATTCAAACACCTTCATTTGTGATGCTGGGAAGGGAATGGACAGCAAAATCTCCAGGTTTGTGGAAGATGCTAAGTTCTTCCAGGACATAAAATATTTTGCCAAAGACACAGGGCTCCAGAAGAACCTTGCAAAAGTGAGTGAGTGGGCAAAAAGGGCAGCTGAGATGGATGTGCCCGGGAAAGCTGCAGGCTGGTGCCAGAGGCCACTGGAAGCCATCCGGGGTTAGCATGGATTGGAGGAGTCCTCGGTCAGGTGAGCTAGCTCCCTCCGTCATTGTCCAACTGGACAAATGTGTCCCCGCTCTAAATTTGTGGCCCTTTGGTGCAACAACTGGCTGTTTCTCTTTTCTCTCCCCTGAGGCCGAGACCTCATAAGACTAGAGGATACAGAAATGCTTGAGGCAGTGATAAATCTTCTTTAGTGGGCTTTTATTTCCTTTTCTTTCACAATATTTTCTTTAGTTTCCTAGCCAAATTTTTTTCTAAGGAAAGATTTCTGACTTCCTTTGAGCCACAGCTCAACATCTGTCCACATTGGGGGCTGAAGTAATACACTGTTAAGGGGTTTTGATGTCAAGCCCAAAACCCCACCAGGGATTTATGCAGCTCTCCCCTTTCCTCCCTCCTCCTCTTCAAACAGCCTTTCATTTGCTCTCACTAATTGTGCTGTCATGCCTTTCTTCCCCCGGTTGTGCAGACAGCCTTTCATGCAGACAGGTTTCAGTGACAGATGCCTGTGCCATGAGCTTTCCGAGGAGGCGGGTTGTGCTGCAGAGCGTGCGCATCGTCTGAACGCACCGAGCCGCTCTGAAATGATCCAGGCACCCATCCAGCTTGGGGACAGATTAGGCAGTGGCTTCCCTGGCTCCCTCCATCCCCAAGGAGCTGCTGGATAATCGCTGCTGGTTAGCAGAGCCCTCCAGCCCACCCACAGACACCACTCGCTCCGCTAAGTGGGCAGGAAAAGATTAGCTGAGAACCTCTTGGAAAAATGGAAGGGGAGAGTCTTTGGGAGGATTTTAACTGGGGACAAGGACACTGCAAAGCCTGGCATCCCCAGAGAGGTGACTGTGGGTAAGAGGAGCACAGCCAGGACCAGGGGTTTTGCACAGGGTTGAACAGAGCTGTTCTGGGCTGTGTCCCCTTCCTCAGGCACACAGCAAGAGTCCTGTGGTGGGTGTGAAGACCATTGCTTTCGATGACTTGCATGAAAGTGTGAAACAAGGCTTGGCCCTGGGGACAGCGTAAATCAACCTGCTCAAATGGAAGCCCACTCTCAGGCCTTGCCAACAAAAGGAGAACAACAGTTTTCAGCAGCTACCGTATCCGTGGGCAGCTGGGACACAACTGGAACCTAACGCTGGAGAGGCTCAAAGCCTGAATTTCCTCGAAGTTGTGTCTGTGCACAGGGAAGACAGCTGTTGGCAGGAAGACTGGAATAGAGAAAATGGGGCAATGCAGATCTCGAGCTCATAGATGATCCTTTTCCTGTTATCTCTTTTCCAGCTCCTTTTTTGGTCAGAGGATGGGGAGGGCAGTGAGGGGATAACTCTGATTGTCAGCCAGCTCACAGAGAGCTCCTCAGAGGGGGCTGGGTGCCCGACTTGGCGAACTCTGGTACCCCTATCCCCACAGGGTGCCTGTCCCAGAAGCCCTGCACCCTGCGGCATCCCCACACCCCTCCTGGTGCTCCCTCATGTCCTCATCTCCTCCCTGCTGTGAAGGAAAGGGCTGCAAAAGCCACTGCCCTGGGGTCTGTACTGTGGGGTTGATACTATGCCAGAGCCAGAGAAGGAACTGGACTAGATGTTCATCCCTTTTTTTGTCTGTATGTAATTTTTTTCCTTTTGTTTTAAATGGCTGTCTGCAAAGATTTCCAAGAAAGATAGAGAAGCATTTTGTCTATCCCAGGGTCTGCAGACCAGCACAGGGACAAGCTGGGAGGTGGCAGGGTCAGGGGCACTTAGCACTGAATTGCAGGAGATTTAAAGTGAAGTTACGGAGCACCGTCAAAGAGTGGACTTCTAAAAAGCACTGACAAGCCCACTCCCTCCCCTTACATGTGCTCCTGTAGTGTGCC